AAGTACAAAATTACAGTGACCCAAAAAAAAATTAAAATTCATCCACTCCAACTCATCCATCCTTTAACCCTGTAAAGACTGACATTTCACATAATAGCCTGAGTAGAGCAGACTACTTAAATAAGACTGTAAGATGATATTTAAATGCTTAGTTTTATAATCAAAGCTCTGCAGTTTCAAAACATACAGTATAATGCAATGCAATACAAAGATGATTGAGAGATGAAGAAATAAATGTTCTCCATACATTGCTTATTTAGCAAACATTGATCTTGATCATTTAGCATTTTAACATGATTTTTCTAAATGATGTCTGGATAATCAAATAAACCTAAGTTGCTTCAGTCTTGTATGCGTTCGTCTTGAAATATCACTAACAATTTAAATTTATTCTCATTTACCTTATAAAAATCTGTAGACATTTTACAGAAAAACACACCTGAAACTTTACTTGCTAAAAGTGTACAGATGACCAGTCAGACAACAGAAGGCATGTACTAGATAGTGTGCAACAGGTTTTTCAGCAAGTTTTGATAATGTTGATAATTTAGAGGCCTTAGAAATGTATGTATCAAATATAATACATCAGGCTTTATAAGGCTAAATAGGGCTAAATAGTAAGACAATTCCTTTAATTATTATACATGCCTCTTGTGAAAGTCAGATTAAGTGAGAGATTACATGCAGCATTTGCTCTTTTAAAAATACATTTGTCACACAGCAGGACTGTTAAGTAAACTGCAAAATCGATTTTTAAAGGTAAAAAAAAGCACCCAGCTCTGATACAATTACAGTTGTACAATTAGAAATGTATTTGTAAAATTGTATGTATGTATGTGTATATATATATATATATATATACACACACATACATATATAAATGAGTTTAAGAATGTATTTTTTTACATTATTAAATATTAATTTCTTTTGAAGAAATATTTCACATTAAATACAACTATTGACAGCATCTGTGACATTATCACAGAACATAATTTACACTCTAATTTAATATTTACTCTAAAACAGAGAAACAGTAATTTACTGTGAAAAATTGTGACCTACAGAAGTTATAAAAATATAACTTTATTAGGTCATGTGATCCATGACATACCCACTGAAAGCATTCAGTGCTAGCATTAGCGTTGTGCGTAAACACCTCAAGGGATATTTTAAAATTAAATTTTACAAAAAAAGCAAGAAAAATATTTTAACAGAATCCACACAATTATCAAATATACTCTCATATACATCTGATGTGTAATAGCCTACACTTTCCAAATGCATACATGTCATACATAAATATACAGCCGGTTTTCCAAATATCTACACATCGTAAACGTTCCTCTCACATACATACACACACCACAAGCATATGAACCTCTTAAAAGTGGTTTAAGTGGGACTGCTTTTCCTCTCAACACATCCCACAATCCCTTGCAGTCTGGTGTACTGCTGTAATTACGTTAAAAACGTAATACTGTTTTAAATTAATAAATATTAAAGGAAAAGGTTTCTCTGTCTTGCCAAGCAAACTGTAATTTGCCCTGTACTTTGAATCGCTTAAACAAAACACCCATCCAACTCTGATTTTGTGTAATGAGAACTTGTTCTGTGAAAGCGTCTCCACTAATTAATATCTCAAAGGAAAGACATTTCTATGGTTGATCGTTAACTTTGACAGTATTTCGATGTTGTTAAGCTTCATAATCAATCTAGTACTGTAAAGGTATGCCTCGACTGAATTTCCAACATACAAACTGTCCATTAGCTAGTGAAGAGTTTGTAGTAGTCACTCGTGCCTATCAGCTTCACATCTCAGCTGGCATTCAGCCGATGGCTATCCAGAGGTTACAGATCGGTGTCTTTTTAAATGGAAAGTAAACAGGCAAAACGTGCCATCTCAAGACTCATGTAACTTGAGCGCATCTCCCATTGGCCTTTTGCAAAGTTAAACACTCCCACTGCATGACGCATCTTAATGTTCTTCTTGATACGGAAACTTTTTCCCCCTTTTTTGGGACGCCTGTCCCTAATCAGATTATTATTCCTTTCTTGCTCATTCTTTCTCCATTTTTGGCTTCACAACCTCATCATTACCAACTAATTCGACAGAAACACTTGTGATTCTTACTGGAGAACACCTGTTGTAGCCCTTGTCAAACACAACTCAGTGTTTGCAGTTCGTATAAAGGTGGTCTTTGACTTGAGCCTGCAGACGACATCATTTGAAGTACGGTCTAGTAAGGCCGAAGAACCCAAGGAACAGATGTGGGCTCCAAGTCCCTACCAGAAACAGAAAACTCAAACAGCCCTCAATCCTGCCAGCAGGAAACAGCCGCCAGTCCAGTGACTGAGAGGAAGACAACAAGAGAAGCATTTTGCAGCCCTTGCGAGCGTTAGTCTGTGTACTCTGCTACAATTGACAGCAGAACGGTGATGTCATCTGGTTTTCCTCCTTTGGAAAGAAAACGGAGAGGGAATTTTTTCAGGCAAATTTCAGCATTAAAGATTTACTCAACATTTACAAACCCGTGCCACTGAATGCACGTCAGTTAGGAGTGTAAAAATGCATCAGTCTGATAATGAATTTAATGCATTTAATTAAAGTAACTGAAAATAATATAATGCATGAAAATAATTTAATGCACTTAATTCAAGTAAATGAAAATGAGCAATGTTGCTTTAGCAACTGACTAAAGTTTTTTTTTAGGTAACACTTAACAATAAGGTTCCATTTGTTAACTGTATTTAATGCATTAAGTAACATTAATAATGAGCAATACATTTGTTACAGTATTTGTTAATCTTTGTTAACATTATGAAGTAAAAATACAACTGTTTAGTTTTAGTCCATGTTAGCTCAGGCCCATAAACTAACATTAATAGATACAACTTTTTCATTTTAATAATGTATTAGAAAACGTTGGAATCAACATTTACTAAGATTAATTAAAGCTTTAGAAGTATTTTTTATTGTTAATTTAGGTTAACTAATGTAGTTAACTAATGTTGGCAATAGGGTTGGGCTGAAAGACGATGCCATCGTCCATCACCGATGGCTGATAGACATCACGTTGTTGAGCCGATATCCCCCCCCCCCCCTCCCCCCCC